TACTTTAATTCATGGCAAAGTATATCTGACTTATATTCCTCTGGTGAGAATAGAATAATGGTAAATTCTTGCAGTTTTTGTTCTTTGGGATTGTCTTTATTTCATCTTCTATTTTTAAAACACAATTTCTCATGATGAGCAATTCTAAGTCAACAGTTGTTTTTCTCCAAAACATGGAAAATATTATTACTCTGTCTTTTGGATTTTATTGTTGCCACCAAGAAGTGTACTAGAAACCACATTTTAGATGATATTTTCTCTTGTTACTTTTAAGCCCTTCTTTATATCTTTGGCCATTTCAGAATTTTAATGCAAGGCTTTTGTGTACAACTTTTTAAAAGTCTATTCTTCTTCAAATTAATTACACTTCCTCACCTATAGTCTCTTGTTTACCGTTGGTTCTAAAACATTTTTAGTCATTTTAGCTTCAAACAATGCCTCTCTTCCAATCTAAATTATCAATTAGAACTCTACTTAACTTTATGTTAAATGTCTGAATTCTAATCATTTTACCCATAACCTTATTTTAATACTTTAATCATTCTAAAATATTCTGAAATTTTCATCAAATCGAATTGTCAGTTTCCTAATTTATTGTCTAATCTAAACATTATTTTCAGTTTTTGAATTACATTGTTTTGTGCTCAAAAAAATCTGTTACTTTTTAAAATATATTTTCTTTAGTGATTTTCAATATTTTAATTTTTTACTATTTTTAATTTTTAAAATTTTATCTTTTTAAATATTATGTTATTGAGATATATTTTACATATTTATAGGATACATGTGAGTATTTGTTACATGCATAAAATGTGTATAAAATTAATTTTTAAGCTCTCACATGTGAGTGAGAACATGTGTTGGTCTTCCAGTGCCTGCATTATTTCACTTAACGTAATAATCTCTGGTTCTATCCATGTTGCTGCCAATGACATAATGTCATTTTTTTTTTTTTTTTTTTTTTTTTTTTTTGAGACGGAGTTTCGCTCTTGTTACCCAGGCTGGAGTGCAATGGCGTGATCTCGGCTCACCGCAACCTCCGCCTCCTGGGTTCAGGCAATTCTCCTGCCTCAGCCTCCTGAGTAGCTGGGATTACACATAATGTCATTTTTTATGCCAAAATAGTATTCCATTGTCCATATATACCACATTGTCTTTATTCATTTGTTTGTTGATGGACACTTAGGTTGGTTTCACAGCTCTGTTATTATGAATAGTGCTGAAATAAACATGCAAGTGCAGATGCCACTTTGATATACTGGTTTCTTTTATTTTGGGTAAATACCCAGTAGCGGGATTGCTAAATTATATGGTAGATCTATTTTTAGTTTTTTGAGAACTCTCCATACTGCTTTCCATAGCGATTGTACTAATTTACATTCCCACCAACAGTGTATGTGAGTTCCCTTTTCTCCACATCCTCAACAGCATCTATTATTTTGTCACTTTATTAACAACCAAACTTAATGGTGTAAAATAATATCTCTTTGTGGTTTTGATTTGCATTTCTCTGATGATTAGTCATGTTGAACACTTTCTCATATACCTGTCAGTCATTTTTGTGCCTTCTTTTTTTGTAATTTTTTTAGAGATTTTTTTTGTGCCTTATTTTAAGAAATATCGGTTTATGTTCTTACCCCACTTTTTAATAGGTTTATTTATTTATTTATTTTTGAGTGTAGTTCCTTGTGTATTCTAGATACAAGTCCCTTGTCAGATGAATATTTTGCAAATTTTCTCACATTAAACAGGTTGTCTCTTCACTCTGATTGTTTCCTTTGCTATATGGAAGTTTTTAGTTTACTACAGTCCTATTTGTCAATTTTTGTTATGGTTTTCTATGCTTTTGAGATCTTAGCCATAAAATCTTCACCTATACCAATGCCTTGAAGTGTTTTCCCTACATCTTCTAGTAGTTTTATCATTTTGGATACTGCATTTAAATCTTTCATCCATTTGGAGTTGGCTTTTGTATGTATTGTAAGACTGATCCAGTTATATTTTTCTGCATGTGAATATCCAAATTTCCCAGTACATCTTAGTCAAGAGGGGATCCTTTCCCCAGATTATGTTCCTGGTGCTCAAACCAAGAAGTCAAACCCATTTAAAATAGCTGCAAAGATAAAACACCTAGGAATAAATCTAAAAAAGAATGTGAAAGATGTCTAACAAGAAAACTACAAAATACTGAGGAAAGATATTGAAGAGGACACAGAAATGGAAAGACATCCCATAGTTACAGAATGAGTTAATTTATATCATTAAAATAACCATACTGCCCAAAGTAATATACAGATTCAATGCAATTCTTACCAAAATTCCTATGCTATTTTTCATAGAAATGGGAAAAAACATTCTAAAATATGTACGGAACCAAAAAGAGCAAAAATAACCAAAATAATCTTGATCAAAAGCACCAAGTTGCAGGTGTCACACTAGGAGATTTCAAATTATATTTCAAGGCTATACTAACCAAAACAACATGGTATTGTTATAGAAATAGAATCATAGATGAATGAAACCGAATAGAGAACACAGAAATAAATCCACATGCTTACAGCCAACTGATTTTCTATATGTTAATTGTTAAATATTGGCTATATAGTACTTTATTTTAAAATGTATAACAAATTCCATTTCTATACTTCTTGGTATGTTCTATGGTGAGAATATATTGTTTGTTCTTTCAACTGACTTTTACATATTCTAGATGTTTTTCTTTTGTGTTTCATGATTATAAATTAGAAAGTTATATTTGCTCTTATAATTTGTAGAAATTCTGTAGGAAGAAATAGAAGAGGCTTCTGTTCAGCATGGATTTATGATTGCTCATACCCTAAGCAAGAAGATGTCACCCACTTGAGTACACTCATATTTCATGAGGAGTAGAAACCCTTGTTTCGTTCATCATTAAATTTACAAATGCACTCTCACCATCAAACAACCTTTCCCTCCTGTTAAAATAGGTGAGCGTTCTCAAGATCAGGTCCTTCTAATCTGAACTGGTCACAAACAGAATACTTCATGTGCTCTAGGAATTTATAGACTGTTACTCTCTATATATTCTGTGACAGCAAAGTTTTTCTCTCTTTTAAACACTTCTATCTGCCACAACCTATCAGTTCATAATCTTTTTATAGTCTCTCCTAAGTTTTTTGTATGAGACGGAATTTTCCTCTTGTTGTCCAGGCTGGAGTGCAGTGGTGCCATCTCAGCTCATGGCAAACTCTGCCTCCGGGTTTCAAGCTAGTCTTTCCTAGTTTTTAAAAATCTATCTCAATAATAAAATGATTGGGAGACCCCACTGCTTCAATCATGTCTGGTTTCAGGTATCTCTGGCCAAAAGGTTTCATGCCAAAGTTATTAACAATAAACCCATTTTCAAATGCAACACATGCATATTTGTCTAGAATGCACTTTAAATTTACTTAGGCCCTCAATGATAGTTCACAAGGCCTACCTCTTCTCTATTTCACAAAACTCTCATTTTATTTGTTTTTTTGATTACTTTGGAAGCCACAGTTTCCTCAATATCGTTTCAATGCTTGGAACTTTCTCTGTACTTTAATTTTATCTACAGACTCCACATGCTAATAACTTTAAGGGCACAAACATCTCCTCTTTTTCTTCTGACTTTGTCTTATGTGATCTCATCCATTCTTACATTTAAAACATGTAGTTCATGTTCTAGAAAGTTCTGCAGGACCAATTTCTTCTCTAAGATTTAGATTAGCATTTTCCACTGTCTTTTCAAAATTTACCTTTGTATATTTGATGAGCATTGCCAATATTATGTACTTTAAGAACATCTCTTTATACTTCTCCTCCTTAGTGTGCTCCAACTCAATAAAAGGCTCTATGTCTTCTTTTTCTTTTTCTTTTTTTTTCAAATTCATTAGCTAAATAAAAACCTAGAGGTCATTCTTAATTTTGTTTGTCTAAACACTATATTCAAATCTATTGCTAAATTTTGTTGTTTACTTTATAAATATTTATAACAATTTCCACTTAGTTTTGTACCCAAATAAAGATAATTATCCATAGAAAAGCATATATGTCCAACCCTTCAATCCCAAATAAAGTATATGTGGTTTTACTATGCATAATTTTTGAGATTAATAAACAATTAGAACAAGTATTATTAAGAAGCCTGAAAGAGTATTACATCCTGGCATCCTGAAACTTGGCAGGATAAACCAACAAACAAAAGACATCACTTGTATATGAAAAAACATCACTTGAACATATCTACATTGAGTGGATAACACTAAAATCTCAACTTTTTAATATACCTTTGATTAATATTTCAACTGTGCTTAATTTGATTTTCCCTTCTTTTTGCAACTAAATAACTCAACTCAATTACCTTCTTTACAGATGACCTCCGTAGGAAGTTGTGAAGTGTCAAGAGCCACAGTAAATAGACAAGGAATGTTTTCCTTGCCAAATATAAGGAGACCTTAGTTTTTCAGTTTACTGAAACCTTTCCTTTCAGGTTCTCAATCAGAATAATCCCAGTATTTCTACTAATAGATGAAATACTGTTATTTTATGTATTTTAGTGGAAATGCTGTCTATCGTGTGACTAGGAAGGACTTAGTAATAATTTGTTGTATTTGCTGCAATTAATAGAAATATTCAGTCTCATATAGCCACATTTATGTATTATCCACAAGATTTTCTGGTTACATGTACAGTATTATTTTAGTTAAATATTTCTTATCATTTTATGTTTCTCTCTTTTTTTAATGGCTGAGTTAAAAATCAATATTTTATAGACAAAATGTTTATGAATCATATTTGAATGTTGATTATTCCTGTGGTTAAATGTCCAACCCCTCAACCCCAAATAAATTACATAGTAAGTTGTAAATTTGCTTTAGATTTAATATAAAACCTCATTGTTGCAATTAGCTTGTGACACTGATTTACCTTGAAATCAGCTCTTTTGCCAACCCTTCCCTTCCCATATTTCCCATATGTGTAAAAGAGTACAGGCATATCTGAACTAGTAAAATACCTTCTATGAGTTCAGATATGCCTGTGCTCTTTCACGACCTGTAAATCTGAAAGAGACAACCCTTCAAGATGAATCCCGAGTGGATTATTAGAGCCCAGTGGCCATTATAAGGCCAAGTGACCGTTTGCTGACTAGGGGGTCACACATGTACTCTGAGGTCCTTGAAAACCCACAACTTGTAATCGTTGGAACTTTCATAACTCTTCTGAACCAACCAATCAGAGCTCATCTACCTTAGCCCATCGGAAATCAGCTGTATTGACCAATCAGAACTCAGCTATTTCAACCAATCAGAATTAAGCAAATTTCCATCCTTCATTTGCACAAGCAGACTGATTGGGAACATGAAAGGAAAGGTTTGCTGTAAAACCTGCCTTCCCTTTGTACTCTAGAAGTCACCTTTGTTTTACACCAGAGCCTGCATCTCCCTGGTTTGCAAACTGCTCACTGGAGTAAAGTCTTTCCTCCAAATTCCTTTTAAGAGAACTTGTGTTCACAGAACCTAACCGCATCTCCTGGAAACATGCAGTTAGAATTTGCTGGCTAGAATATAATTGTGAAGGGTTTAAGTGCTGGTCTGTACTCATCAAAAATGCTTTAGAAAAGTCATTCCTGTTCAGTCTAGATTGATTATTATAAATAAATTTGAAATTTCTGGATTTATGAGGTACGATTGTCAGAAGAAAGGATATAGTATATGGAGTTTATAGTAATATGGCTGTCAAGTTACAAAAACAAAAAGACCCCAAACTAAGTGGCTTCCCTGTATCAGACTCTACAGTATGTGATTTATCTCCTCACTCAGAAAAACAGACTTTAGAAAGCTACATCCAGTGAACTCAGGGTGTATTGCTTCACTGTCTTTCCTTTCATGAGTAAATTTTGTTGTCTAGTAAGACTTTAGTTTTATGTGAGTCTGACAATGAAGTCCTTCGGGATAGTATAAAAATTATTTTTATGTAATCTAAAGGCATCACTTAAGAAAGAATACAAACACATACACAACACAAACACACACAAATGTACACACATGTAAATATATACGTGTGTGTATCCCCATAGAATTTGATCTCTATGAGCAAGGAGCTTTCGTTTTTTAATCTGCTATAATTTTATGACATGAATAGTCAATAATATGGCCTTTCATTTTTCATCAATACTGTTTTCGAAATGGAGAAAAGTAATTATCTTTTATTGTTCATTTTTATGTATTTCTTTTTAGTATATGTCATCGTGTTCCTGATTATTCTAGCTTTGAGTCCATTGTTATGCACATGGTTTCATAATAACAAGTTCTAGTCCATATTTATCCCAGTAGTAGGCTTACACTTGCCCGTTACCTGCTACTAAATGATTGGTTAGCATTACAGATGCAATGATCATCACATATTCACATGAAATATGAAAAAGCTATTTTGCAAAGGAGGGAGAATAACAGTGACATTGTCCAGCTGTGCTAGCACTTTCCTGTATGTTAGTGTTTTATTTTACTTTTAATGTTCCCAAATTAGACATTGTCATTTGAACAAACTAGCTCTTAATATTTGGTAATAATAAAGAAAAAGGAATTTTTCAAATTATCTGGAATAAAATGTAAGTGATTCTGTTTAGGTATTTAAATATTTCTTTATATTAAAGAGTACATGATAGACTTAAAAATTATTTTCTTATCCATCAGCCTTCCTTAGTTGTTGTTTTTGATAACTAAAAATAGTAAAGCAGGTTTCAGTCAAAGTATGTACAATTTACTATAAAGCATTAAAATTTCTTTTTGAGAGAAATGAAAATACATTTGATTAAATTAGATATAGAGTACAATAATAAAATATAAATGTGTACTGATTATTATTATGTGAACAGAGAAATACTTTTATGCATATTACTAAACTCTGGCTCCCTAGGTAAGAAAAAATAGCTGAGTCAATAAGAATTAGGTTTTAATATTATGACTGGGTCTTAGGCAGGAATAAGCTCACGATAGAAAGGTTCTTTTGGGATAACAACTTTAGGAGCAAGGGAACTGTCAAGAAGTATTGGTTTTTTGAAGGACAGGAGTGTGGTGGTGGTCCTAAGAGTAGGAGAGAACTGGGTTTGTTTTTAGAAAAGGTCTATGTGTTGCAGAAAATGAATACAATAGAATTAAGCTTTTATCGTTTTGATGATGTTTGGGTTGGAATCAGTTTTATTCCAATTCCCCTTAACACCTGGCTTTTTTTTTTTCATCTCAGAAAATGCATGAATATTCTCAGAAAAGTAATAGCAGAAGATAAGTCATTATTAACACAATAATTCATCACTCTCTGCATTCAGTCTCAAAGAGCACCAGAATCATATCAGTATCCTATTTTGTAGCCAGGAGTAAAAGTATAGAGAAATGAATAGCCCATTGCACATGCTTCTGTTTTATCCATGCTCTCTAAATAAATATACATATTTTCTAGTTTGTTTGAAATATACAGGTGAACTTGAAAAAAGTCAGGTAAAAGTAGTTTCCCGTATCTCAAGTTTATTCAAAGCCATCATACCACAATATGAATATAGTTACATGAATGTTTTTATACATTAATTACAGTGATTTCAGTGGACTTAGGTTGTAAGATAATAATAGAACTTGTGCAATTGATTCTTTGAGGTGAAGAGTTATCCTGTATCATATGTTTTCTAATATCTGGTTTTAAGTCAAAATTAAATTTTTTATATAACCTCTTGAAAGCAAGTTACTTCTGTGAAAAATTATAGAAGGATAGCTCAATATCAGACACTGTAGAAACATCTTGAGATGAAGAGAACTTAAGAAATACTAATTAGACAAAAATTAAAATAAAAGAAAACTAAACCAAGATTATTTTATGACTTATAATGATCACCTAGTTGGTAATATGTTAATTTTTAAATGTTCATGCCTTATTTTTCTACACCCGGTAGTTTAGTGTCTTTATGTGGGTGTTCCATAATCAGTTATAGTATCTATTTATTCATTTTCTCCCACCCATTTACATGTGGTATTCATTTTTCCCATTTTCTTCTTTTTCAATTCAGAAGATTTTATTGTTGTTATCTTTATTAACCTAGAGAGGTAAGCCTTCTAGAGTTTAATAAAGATTCTTATTGCTAGCCTTAACAGGGGTTAAAAGGGGAAAAGCGCTCATTAGACTTTCTAAAACATTTTACCTAAGACTGAAAAAGAGAAAGAAAGTTATACATATGTAGCAATTTTTTATTTTAGGGATGAAAAGAAATGAAACTAGATTCATGTACATTCAGAGAGAAAAAAATAATCTCCTGTACGTTCACTATCAAGAATACCACAGAGACTCAATACCAAATAGACATCTAGCTAATTGGGTTTTCCAGAAATAAATTAGACTAGAACAGAGAAAGAGTATCAGTAATTGTGGGTATCATTAGCAAATGTGAAATATACAACACCATTTTTATAACCTCCTTTTTGTTTCTTTGTAATTTGAGTTTTCAAATATAGCATAGATAGTTATTTCATAGCCTATCTCTCTAATAAAGCTCTTTTTTATTGTCCTTAATATGTTCTATAATTAAAATATATTGTTTGTTCTTTCTATTGACTCTCACACATCGTAAGCTTGTCTTATACTTGATTCATAATAAATTAAAAATGTGTATTGATTTTCTCTTAATTTGTGAAAATCTTGAATAAATAAATAGAAAACATTTCTATCTGGTAAGGATTTGTGACTTCTGGTAACCTAGCTAGTGGACAGGACCAACTTGACCAACTTAGGTTTACTCACATTATCCTGAGGTATGTTAATTTCCATGCACTCAGTTCTAACGTAATTAAAAATTCTGGATTCTCCATGCCTATAATGGAATACATATTGATTTTCCATAACAAAGAATACTTGGGTTTGGAAACCAAGACCCATGGAACCCAAGGAACCAAAATGTGGGGTATGAAAACTCATTCACCATCAATGCCATGACTTGTACTTCCTGTCCATCTAACTGTGGACTCTAAAGGGTTATTCATTGTGGTCCCCCATGAGGGTACTCCCTCATCAGTGGACAGGCAAGTGGTCCACTCTGGCTGCCTCCTGGACACTTGGACTCCAAGGGCATGAAGGATGCATGTGGAACCCAACTGGCTTACTTAGTCACTTCAGGTTCCTTCCTTACCAATTATAACTCAATTAACATTTGAAGAATACCCAGGTTTGGGTCACTCTACCTGGAAAGTCACCAAGAGCTGATGGCTGAGGTTAAGGAGTTAAAAATATGTAATGGAGGAGGAATGAGTTGAATATGGGTCACGACACTGAGGGAAACTGAATTTTGTCCCAAAAGTCTCTCTCTTCTTTATTTTACACTATGAAGAGACCCACAGGAACTATGAAGGGTGCGTTCTTTGAAAGTGGGTGAGGCATCAGGTCTGTCAGGGGAAGGGATGGATGGGAGCAGCTGTAGAGATCCAGCACTCAGATCTCTTCAGAAGAATCTATAAGGAGCAGTGGGGTGCCCACTTTCTGCTGGGGTACTTTTGGGATTCAGCCTTTATGCCAAGGCCATGACAGAGCATGGTGAAGACATTGGAGCTGGGCTGTGCTGCCTATGGGACTCACTCTGACAGCAATCTTTGCTTTGGGATTTCTTGCTGGTCTGCCTGGGCCCCGGCTTTGTCAAAGCTGTCCTGATCCTGAGTCTTCATGTTCTGCTCTCACATTCCTTTCCTTTCTCCTCTCACAGTCATAGTGAGAGCACCTAGGCATAAAGCCTTTCCCTGCCTGTGGCCACCCCCTTTTTTCTTCACCCTGAGGAACCTCTTACATCTAATTCCAATTTGGGCTCGGCTTCTGCTTTGTGGAAGATCTAAGCTGACCCAGTTAGGAACAAAGATCAAGAGGCAGGAAATTTTAGGATATGAATAGGAGATAATTGAATAAGGAACCATGAATTTTCCAGAAAGAAAAGAAGGTAAATGCTAGGGTTTAGCTGTGTCTCCACCCAAGTCTCACACTGAATTTTAATAATCTCTATATGTAAAGGATGGAGCTAGGGGGAGACAATTGAATCATGGGGGCAATTTCTTCCATACTGTTCTCATGGTAGTGAATAAGTCTAATGAGATGTGATCGTTGTATAAATGGGAGTTCCCCTGTGCAAGCTCTCTTGCCTACCACCATGTAAGACATTACTTTGTTCTTGCCTTCCACCATAATTGTGAGGCCTCCCCAGCTGTGTGGAACTGTGAGTTCATTAAACTTCTTTCCTTTACAAATTACCCAGTCCTGGGTATGTCTTTATTAGCTGTGTGAGAAAAAACTAATAGAATAAAGAAAGGAGAGTAGTAATGAATAAAAAATATTTCAGGAGAGAAAGCAATAGACTGGAAGTTGAAGTAAGCTCAAAGGACTTTATATGGTAGACATGGAACATGTAAATGGATAAATAATTTTATAAATGAAAATTTTATTTCAATTTAATAATCCACACAGTCCAGAAGCCACACAAGTAACAAAATACCCAGTGCCATTATACATTTACTACTTTGTAGTGGTAATTAATATGCTTTTTTGGTTAAGAAAAAGATGCTGATCATATGCACACTTTTATCAAACTCCTTAGGGTCTAGAGGTAGATGCCAACGTACAAGCGTAGGATTTAAAAGTGCAGCATACTAGAATCCCAGATGTACCTAGAGTTAAGCAGGAACCCCTCCAAAGGGGTGGCTGTGGGAAGCAAAGTGTAACTATATGTGCAGTCACTAAATACGAGGCGTAGGTGAGATTTGTGAAGATGTTGGGTAGATGACATTTTGAAATTTCAAATGGATTCTGGGGGTAAACCATTATTGGAGTTACTATGTTAGTTTTCTGACAAGGTCACAAACACATTGCAGTAAGAAAAAAAGTAGTATACTTTATGAACACAAAAACTTTGTAAGATTTCTGTGTCCTACTCTTAGTTGTGTGACTGCTTTATATACATGATATCTCTTAAGCACGCTTCTTTTCAACAATTATTGTTTGTTCCTGCTGAAGGGCATTGATGAAAAGTGCTATTTATGTACAAAGGAAAGAGCCAGCATCCTGTGAAATATTTTTCATGAACTACAAAAGGTATACCAGAAAAAGTAGTTTAACCATTTAAAACCAGAGTAGTTCTTTCTGCCACTGAGTTCTAAGAGAAATGACTATACTAGATAAGTTCTATGTAGAACATGGGGAAATCATGTAACCGTAGTGTTGTTAATCCATCCTCAAATTCTCTGTTCTGTAAATGTTCATCTACTCAAACACTCTAAGTAAAGTTAGGGCTCATTGTACTTTTTTTTTTCCCTGATAATGCTTCAGTGCATTTCCAAAGATTTTTTTAAATTATAAATTTGAATTCTAACTGTAATAAAAGATTCATTTCCACTAACTGAAAACATCATTGCAAATTATCCTGCTCTTGCTCTCTTCTTTTATGTATCATAACGGAGTTTGCATTTACTTATGTTGTGTTTTCCAGTTCTATTACAGAATCACTTGAAACAAAAGTAAAGCAAACTATATGAAGTAACTGCTGGGTGCGGTGGCTCAAGCCTGTAATCCCAGCACTTTGGGAGGCCGAGGCGGGTGGATCACGAGGTCAAGAAATCGAGACCATCCTGGTCAACATGGTGAAACCCCGTCTCTACTAAAAATACAAAAAATTAGCTGGGCATGGTGGCGCGTGCCTGTAATCCCAGCTACTCAGGAGGCTGAGGCAGGAGAATTGCCTGAACCCAGGAGGCGGAGGTTGCCGGGAGCCGAGATCGCGCCATTGCACTCCAGCCCAGGTAAGAAGAGCGAAACTCTGTCTCAAAAAAAAAAAAAAAAAGAAAAAAAGAAAAAAAAGTAACTATTATTATTTTTAATTTAAAACAATATTAAGATCCAGGGTACATGTACAGAATGTGTAGGTTTGTTATATAGGTAAATGTATGTCATGTTTGCTGCACCTATGAACCCATCACCTAGGTATTAAGCCCAGCAGGCATTAGCTCTTTTTTCTAATGCTCTCCCTCCCCCCATTCCACCCCCGACACAGGCCCCAGTGTGTGCTGTTCCCACCCGTGTTCTCAATGAGTGACTATTATTTTTAATATGAAGAGCAAATTGATGCAAAATATAAGATTTTGGTGAACCAAAATGTGATAACATTTTAATTGATATTTGGATTTAAATTTTTATTTTTATTCTATCTTTGTATATTTATGTTTATCTAGTTTCTAGTTTTACTTAAAACTTATATCTGACCTACTACTAATAGGCCTGCAATATATACAAATACATGCATGTAAACTTGTATGCAGGCTCGGGTGTTAAAATAAAAAGCTAATTAACAACTATACAAAAAAGTAAAGACCAGGTTTATTTCTAAATATGATTAATTTATTTGCTTCGTTGATGCCAATATTAAAAAGGAATCACCTTATCCTGCATAGATTTTATTGAAAGATATTCCACATTCTGAAAAGATGCTAAATTTATTTCTGGCAATGAACACTAGAAAGGACTCATTACACACATCCTTATAAAAAGTATGCTATGATACAATCCATTTAAAATCCTTGTAAACTTTTGTTTGTTAGGACTTTTTACTACTGGCAACCTGATTACAAAACGTATGTTGAAATGCAAGTAACCTGAACTAACCAGTGCAATATTGCAGAGGATGAATGGAGTTAGAGGACTTGAACTACTTAATTTTAAGACTTGGTATAAATAATGCAGTAATCACACACCATTTTATTGTCGAAATGATAGCACACAGATTGATAGAACAGAACATATAGTCCATAAACACACCTTCACAAATGTGATCAACTGATTTTTGACAAAGGCACAAAGGCAAGGCAATGAATAAAGGGTAGTCTTTTCAAAAAATGGTGCCGGAACAATTGGATGCTTATGTGCAAAACAATTCACTTGAACACAGAACTCACACATTAGACAAAAAGTAAGTCAAAGTAGATCTATATCTAAGTGTAGTACACATTTAGAAACGGTAAAACTTCTAGAAGAAAAGAAAATCTCTGTGACCCTGGTGTGGGCTGTGTTTCTCATTTCCACCCCAGCTACCACTGCAGCACATGCTCATCAGTCAGAGCACTCTGGACATGTCTGTTTTAAAAATATCTGAAATATTCTCACCAAATAGTCAGGCAACCTTAAACAAAGGAGCAAATGAAGACAAAATTATGCCACAAAATGGAACACCCACCAAACACAAGTTCCAGTTTTTTGCATTTCTATGAATGTTTTGCTCTTGTGTTTATGTTCTAGTAATAACAGAGCTATATCATATTCTTAATTCTCACTTTAAATAGAAAAGGTCGCACATATATACCATGGAATACTCTGCAGCCATAAAAAAGGATGAGTTCATGTCCTTTCAGGGACATGGATGAAACTGGAAACCATCATTCTCAGCAAATTGACACAAGAATAGGAAACCAAACACCACATGTTCTCACTCATAAGGGAGTGTTGAACAATGAAAACATATGGACACAGGGAGGGAAGCATCACACACTGGGGTCTGGGGGTGGGGGTTAAGGGAGGAATAGCAGGGGGTGGGGATTGGGGAGGGACAGCATTAGGAGAAATACCTAATGTAGATGATGGGACGATGGATACAGCAAACCACCACCATGGCACATGTATACCTATGTAACAAACCTGCACAATCTGCACCTGTGTCTCAGAACATAAAATATAATAAAACACACACACACATACACACACAAGAAGTATATGATTTTGCTTCATGACTTGAGAAACTGAAAACTGACAAAGACGCTAAGGAGCTAGATCTTTATTCTACAGTTTTTATACTTTAATCAGAATATGTTTAAGTGTTGATTACTTAACTCTATGTTTCTTTTTTGATATGTAGCATTTTCCCATTAAATCTATAGAGTCTTATTTATTATTTCCATTCCAGATGCTTTCATTTGCTTTATATGTAAATCTTCATCTTACTTATTTTATGTGTTTGTTGCATTATAAACAGAAACTGTGCCCTAATTCACTTTTCTTTTTCTTCCGTATCTATTATCTTTTGCACAATGTCATTCATTGTTTTGTCTTTTCTCTGCTTTCACTGAGATTATATTGAATGTTTTCTCTATTTCAGCAATTAAAACAGCTCTGCCTATTTAGCAGTTGTCATTTCTATTCATTTTTATTTGTAAAATGTTTTTTGGACTTCTGTTAATTTCCTTAGCTCTAAAATTATCATTTTTATTGTTTTTATTACAATGCAGCTACACAAGATAGTATTTATTTCATTCTTGATATCATTCAATTATTTTTATGACATTAAACACTTGATAATTTCATTTATTTTAGGTGCATATTCATCCTGAATGGATTCGTCATCTGTATTTTTCTATCTCCCTTATCTTTTTCACTTGTCTTTTTGTTTCCTTCCTTTTTATTTCTTACGTATTTTCACTTTTTATTTTGCCATTTTCACCATGATATGTTTGCATAAATTTCATATTTTTCCTGTATCTCCCTACATTTTTATTAATGAAGAGAATAATTCTGTCAGACTTCTCTATTAACACATGTATATGGTCAAATAATTTTTATTGACTCTTCTGAAGACTTATCTAAAAGACATTTCTACCTTTCCTTCTAAATTACAATTTGATAATCTCTTTTTCCATATCTTCAAGGTATGCAATATCAGAGAGAGAGATAACTCAGTTGGACACAGTTATAAATCTTATTGGATGAACTTTTTATTTCTTTTAAAATTATATGTAAAAACAAGAATTAATACTTCTGCTATTGGAATAAGTCTACAAAATTCTAAAGGAATTGCATTTTATTCACTAATTTAATATGTATTCCTGATGCTTATGTATTCATTTGGGATACGAAGATAAATTTATTAATATCCCATGTTTAATTTATATTATCCTAGTAGGCATGTTTAAATCCTTTAGGCAAGGTAGGTAAGGGCATGAGGTAAAATTATATTTCTGTCTATGAAACTCCAAATTTAGAAACACTAATGAGCAACTTCGTGATATTAGCTCATCAAAAGTGCTTCTAGGGAGTCAAAGAGAGACAAAAAATGTTACCTTGTCTGTCCTTGAAGGATATTTCTGGATTTTTTTTTTTTTCCGAAAGCTTTAATGGTTTATTGCACATATTTTTGTCCCTTTATTCTGTATATTTAATGTTGAGGGTTATCATAAGTTATTCTTTATTGCCTTGTTTTTCTTGCTGTCAGGTATTAGAAATATAATATTCTATTAGTAGGTTTTAATCGGCATTTTCTGAGAGAAATTCTACCAGTGATTTCTGTTTTTGAATCCAGGGATAAGGAAATAATCCTCTTAGTTGTCAAACATAAAAAGAACAGATTGAAAATGTAAGCTCACCTAAGATTTCTCTAAGTTATCAAAATAGTTACAAGGTTGAAGGAAAATATTTGTGATACAATAATTTGTTGCTCACTAAAATGATCATATTCAGAAAAGTTCAGAAGCGTCATTATATGCCTTAGGATTAGAAATATTTACCTGCCCAAATCATGGTCATATTTTATGTTTTCTCCCCTAACTCTGGTTTTATCTTTTACATTTATATCAAACCCTGTTTATTATCCTAGCACTTAAGATTTAAGTTTCTGCATATCCCGTGAAAAGATAAAAATTTATTTTTGCATGTGGATACACACTTAACCGATTACCAAGTATTGTTTATTAAAAATACCATCTTTATCCCACTGGACTATCATACAATCTTTGGCAAAAATCAGATGTCTATTTCTGGACTCCCTATTGGGTTTTTTTGGTCTTTCCGGCTGTCTTTAAACTGTTACCGTATATTCATGAATATCATCGCTTGAAGTAAGTGTTGAAATATTGTAAGTTTTCTAGATTTTATTTCAAGATTACTTCGCATTTTCATTTCTCATACATCCTGTTAGTATTAGAATGAGATTGTTAACTTCCAAAACCATTGTGAAATATTGGTTAGAATTTCATCAAGTCTATTGGAAAACCGTTTATTTAAACTACATAGCTATAAGAATGAAAAAATGGTAACTACAAGCAATACATTGGGGAACCCTCTAAACCCATCATGGAATAAAATCAGATACCAAAGAGTGTATTCTCTCCACTTCTATAAAGCTGAAGTAACAGACAAAGTTAATTGGCTGTTTTAGGTATCAGGAGTATGGTTACTTTAGGAAGGAAGGAAGGAGTTTAAATGGATGAGTTTATTTAATTTAGTTGCACACTTATATTTAGGAGTTTTCTGTATGCATTGTAACTTTTAGAAACTTTACATTGATTAGGCATGGTGGCTCATGCCTGTAATCCCAGCACTTTGGGAGGCTGAGGCAGGAGAATCACAAGGTCAAGAGTTTGAGACCAGCCTGGCCAACATGGTGAAACCCCGTAACTACTAAAAATACAAAATATTAGCTGGGCATGGTGGCAGGCTCTTGTGATCCCAGCTACTCAGGAGGCTGAAGCAGGAGAATCACTTGAACCTGGAGGCAGAGGTTGCAGTGAGCCAAGATGGCAGCACTGCACTCCAGCCCTGGAGACAGTGCAAAATGCCATCTCAAAACAACAACCACAAAACCCTTTCCACTAAAAATATTTGTTTCTAGAATGTGAAAGTTAAAAAAAACTGTATTTTCTTCTTCTTAATGGAAAAATACCTCACAATTCAAGGAAATGCTCCAGGCAATCAAATAATATATGACCCTGAAGAACTCAAGAGCAAAGAAATTGTGGCATATATTGATTGGAGATAGTCATGACTTAATTTAAGGTAAATACAGTAATTTTTGAAAAAGGTAAAATATAAGTGCAAATGACATAAATACTAGTTAATGTAAACACTAAGATTATATGTATATAACAATAATTAAGTGCATCTATAGTAACAATAAAAACCAGTCTTTAAAATAATTTGAAGATTAAAATTTTAAGTGTGCACATTTTCTCGTTTCTATTAAAAATAAAATAGATTTTATTTATAAAACATTTTATTTATAATATTCTTAATTTGAAAACATATTGATAAATGAAAAGGACAATATAAAGGTGAAACAAATAAAACGTATATATTTTTAAATAACTAGTGTCTGGGTCATGGGATAAGAGGTGACACGCACAACCTCAGACAGCCTTGATGACAAACAATTGCTACTGATTATTTTCTCCAAATCCCCTGGGTAAAGCCTGTTCACAAACAATGGGGAAGCTCTGAGTCATGTCAAATAAAAAGAAGCCGATGAGTAGGATTTTCCGGGAAGCTGCCCTTAGGTCATATTATTACAATTAACTGTGAGTGGGGCTTTGAAGAACCCGGACCTTGTTCTGTCCCCTTCAGGTGGCTGCAAGGCTGCTAATTTCACTGTGATTGTGGAGGCTGATGCTTTTCAATGCTACCACTAAGTTGGGGAGTCTGTTACGGAGACAGGGCGAGTTGAACTGCCACCAAAGCTCTCTCTCTTAGTAAGGCTCAGTCGTCTTTTCTTGCCCTTTGGTTAATATTTTGCAATACTTTGGTTAGCTTTAATAATTCTGAAAACATTGATCTTGGCAATATTTGCCAGTGTTTTTCTTTTATATAGAGAAGTATTATTTGGCAGGCAGTACCTTTTTAGTCCTGTGAACAACACAAATAGTATTTATCTTAAAGCTTATTTGTTTGTGATGATTTAACGAAAGATATTTGAAGGTGTAAATTTTTGAAAATAATCATAATTTTAAATATTGATAAACATTAGATGAAATAGGAAATGCTATTGTTACCACATTTCGAGATTTCTTTATGTGTTCAAATTAAGATGAATAACCTTAAGTTTTCTTTTAGTGAAGTTTTGAAATAGATTTAACAATGAAAATCATTAAAAAACATGACATGTATTCTGAGGTACAGAAAATTACTTAAGGCTACGGGACAAATATGACTAATACAGTGGGAAGGAATAAAATATAAAGATTCTTCTCTGTTCCTGGCAATCATCTTGTTCCGGAGCCTCTTGGACGTCCCAGAGCTACAGGAAAATGATGTTGGCATGTTTCAAACACACTTGAGTAATGTAGATTCCAAGCCTAGAAATGAGTTTAAACTCTCGGGGGTTTGAGTTCCATTTACAGTTGGCAAAAATGTACATTTTTTAAAAAAGAAAGGTACTGTAAGAAAAGTAAATTCATACTACCTGAGCTGTTGAAAAATGTGATAACTGCTCTTTTGAAAGATCTTGAGTCTACATAAACCACCTGTTACGCGGCTCAGCATCACCGTGAGAAATAGCGATAAAAGAACACAGAGGATCGGAGGAAAGCTGAAAGCTTAAGACTCTCTGCAAATTGAAATCTGGATAAGAGGAAAAGAAGATGGTATCCAAGATAAGACATTTTTCTTCTATAAGGGACAATCCCAGTTCCAAATTACCTTATGATTTATTAAAAACTTCAAAATCATCCTATCTGCCCTAGGTTTATTAGCAAATTTAAGAGAGACAATTTTCAAGCCACATAACAGACGTACAAAAATGTATTTTGAAACCTTGAAAGTGAAAAAAATGAATTTATTCTTCTGCTTTCAGGAATGACCACTTATTCTGGAGCAAGTCCAGGAGGTAATATGAAACATACAAGAATGGTCATGTCGTGATAGCCTGGAAGTTAAAAAACTATATTCGGATGGATGAGCATCTCTCCGTATTAATCAGATAAAAGTACTGACTCACACTATCCTAAGCTGTATCAATAAAGCAATGAAAGAAATATGTTATAATCTCTCTGTAATTACCCTTAGACAAGGCATATACTTATACTAACTCCAGATCATAAATTCCTTAACAAAAGCTTTGCTTAAGAATTTAAGAATTGGCTGGGCATGGAGGCTCATGCTTATAATCCCAGCACTTTGGGAGACCAAGGTGGGAGGATCAGGAAGTCAGGAGATGGAGATCATCCTGGCCAACATGTTGAAACCCCATCTCTACTATAAATACAAAAATTAGCTGGGTGTGGCGGTGCATGCCTGTAATCCCAGCTACTCAGGAGGCTGAGGCAGGACAATCATGTGAATCAGGGAGTCGGAGGTTGCAGTGAGCTGAGATTGCACCACTGCACCCCAGCCTGGTGATGGAGTGAGACTTCGTCTTAAAAAATAATAATAAATTTAAAAGAATGTAAGAATGTAAGAACCGTAACCGTAAGAATTCCTGTAATACTTTGAGATGATTCCAAATAAATTTAAATTTTAAGAAAGTTAAAAGTAATTGATGAATTTCTTCTAACTGAAAAAACAAACCAAAACTCACAAGTATAAAACTAGGTACAAACTACTAATTCTTAAAACTTCTGCTCCAATATTGCTAAGTTAATGTTTTACATACATTTCTAAAGATTTTTTCTTTCTTTTTAAAAAATTTTTCTTCTATTCTCTTCAAACTGGCAGCCTCATCTTTAGTCCCTTGCCACAGTTGATGTTGCAAACAATGGTGTTGTGGCTAGACTTCTGCTAGATTTCCCAAAGCCTCACTGAGAAATTTAGGTTTTGCATAGAAACAGGGTAGCTTAGAAAATTTGTTTGCCTGTTTTCCATCAGAATAGAGAGAGTGTTTCAGGATCTGGGCAAGAAAAGAAATGGGCGGTAGGCTTGTCTCTAGAGCTTCAGAAACTCATGTTCAACATTTTGAAAGGTGTCCAAGAGGAGAAAATGACACCACTGAGGAATGACTATCCAGAATAATTAGACTGAAAGCACAGAGTGTCATATGAGGGGGAAAAGGTGTTTCCTCAAGCTTACTAAAAAGACAATCAGTAAAATCTGAACAAACCATCATTTCCACACCAGGACTCGTGTATTAATGTTCACAGTAGCTTTATTATAATAATTCTAAACTTTAAACAATCCAAGTGTCTACCACTAAATGGACGAATAAAGTGGTATATTTGGTACAGTAGTTAGCTCTTCAGACATGAGCAGGGCGGGAGAGGGCCCCGCCACACCACACCAGGAATGTCAGGGGACTATCAAGTGTTGGTCAGGCAGTTGCCACACTGTCTCTCTAAAATAATAATTGGTTGCAGCTGGCCCCAGGGAAAGGTCGTTCCCCAAGAGATTAGAAACACCTGAAGCTGGTGATCAGCAGCTTCATGATAAGATCTTGGTACCTGGGTGAGTGGGCTCCAGCATGTGTATTAAGAGGCAAAATGGCAGAGTTTAACTGGTATATGACCTTTCAGGGACATTCTGCCAGTAAAGGGAAGACCACCTCAGGCGAGCGTACGTACAGCTCCAGTAAACACACTGCATGCTCACCACCCAAGTGCTAGCAGATCACTGTGCATGTGAGCAGCTGACCCCAGGGAAGAATCAGGGGAGAAGGGATGCAAGACCCCAGAAGTATGCCAACCTATAAAACCCCAAGTCAAAAGGTCAAGCCACGCACTTGTCTTTCAACTTGCCCATTTGACCCTCTTCCAAGTAAGTGTACCCTTACTTCTTCCTTTCCATTCTTGCTCTAAAACGTTTTTGGGTTTTTTTTGAGATGGAGTTTGGTTCTGTGGCACAGGCTGCAGTGTGGTGATGTGATCTAGGCTCACTGCAACGTCCGCTTCCTGGGTTCAAGTGATTCTCCTGCCTCAGTCTCCCAAGTAGCTGAGATTTCAGGTATGAGCCACCATGCCCAATTAATTTTTTTTTCTTTTGGTGTTTTTATTAGAGACAGGGTTTCACCATGTTGGCCAGAATTGTCTCAAACTCCTTACCTCAAATGATCCACCGGCCCCAGCCTTCCAAAGTGCTGGGGTTACAGGCATGAGCCTGGCTAAAGCTTTTAACTAAGCCTGGTTCCTGCTCTAAAACCTGTAGTCGGTCTCTTTTTCTGCATACGCTCCTCAGTGGAATTCTTTTTTTTTTGAGGAAGCAAGAATTGAGGTTGCTACAGACCCCTATAGATTCACCAGCACCAACATATTCATACAGTGAAATACTACTCAGTAATAAAAAAATTAACTATTGATACACAGCATAGAAGAATTTTATAATAATAAAAAATGTATTCATGAAATGTTAACATTGCTGCCATTGTTCTTGTAGTCCTGTTTCTTGTAATGAGCAGGTGTCTTTCTTCTGCTACAAATTTAACATTATTTGCCTAATGTTTACTTGATGTGAAATGATCACTTGAACAATAAATGCCGTTATGGCATTTTCAGGTTAGCTAACATGTATGATCTAGAATCAGTTGGCTTACTGTGATCACGAACACAGGTGTAAACACAAGGGCCAGATTAATGTATCAGGATTAAGGTATTTGATGGTCATTTCCATGATTCAGAATATGCTTAAACAGTTTTATATTATACTCAAAACAAAAGCATACAATTTAAAAATTCTCAGAACTATTAGAAGAACAATAGTCCATCATTAGAATGCAATCTTAGAATCACTGTTAAATTGGGACAAATATGCATATAATCAGAAATGTATGCATTTATATCTAAACCACACAAGAAAGGAACTGCATAAATTGGAGCAAGATACTTAAATCTTTGATAACTGTTGTATTTATCTGTTAAAGAATATGGTACTATCTCTATCATAGGATTCTGTGTGAACTTAGCTAAATAACCTATATCCACACTTCAGTGTATGATGCACACTAAATTCTCGATAACCCATATGTTTCTTTATTTTCTATTAAATAAAATTTAGGAAGCCAAACTTATTAGAGTTATTAAGGCAAAATTATTAGGAAAAAAATAGGCAGATATGTTTTCAAGTTAGTGAGAAGTTTTCCTTCTAGTATTATTTACAACCATTTCTAGGTTCAAACTTATACATATTATCTGTAAGAACTATAGTTTTAATTATAATTATGTATTTATTTAAAGTATTATAGTTTACAGGATGTATACTATGTTTTATGTAATATTATGGCTTTTTTTCATCTGTTCCTTATTTTTCCATTTTATGCCTAAGAAATGACTGACAATTAAGTTAAACTTCAAAATAAGAAGTTAATTTTTGTGGGATGGAATTTAGATCTCATATTATAACCATTAGTGATATTCTTTGACAGGTATCAAATATATATTTTTTCTTATTTTACTTTACACAACATATGGTTCTTATCCAGAAAGTACGGATATTTTAATTAAGTAGATTTTTTGTTGCAATTCTCATGAATAAAACTGAATAAAGGGCTTTATAAAACACATAAAAAGTATTCCTCTTTTTTTATGTATGTGGAAACTGTTGGAAATAAGACAGTGCATGTCATAGAGAAAAGTAGCTAGTTTCCAGAAAAGTGACTTATTTCTCTCTTTGTTCTGTGGAGTTTTGTCGTTGAAAGGAGAATTAGACTTTAAAATGAATATTGAACACCAGAGGGAAAAAGAGTTAAGTTGAAGTTAGCTTCTCATATTTTGGTTGGACTCAAGGAGGTAATAGTGAATGAATGTCAATATAAGCAGGTTTATAGTGGCATCATTGTTTTTAGAAGACTCATGTTTGTTTTATTACAGTATTTATTTAGGAGGCAATGAGAGTATCCATTTGAAAACTGCCTTAATGAGAAAATTTTATATTTAATGACTGTATTGTAATGAATGTGTTGAAATAAAACAGAATTCTTGTGGCAAATGTATTCAGGGTGTTAAGAAAAAATAAGGTTCCATTATTTAGGATCTAACTAAGAAGGAATAGAGTCCCTAAGCAGAGTCTTCATAAAGTTCTTCATGAAGTCCTTTGGGCAGTGACATATTAGTAACTTGGTTATAGGAATGCTTAAAGCAATCCCTAATGCTGTAATAATGAGAGTGGGTTTTCTTTCCAGAGATGATATGGACATCATTCTTAGCTTTAGGACACAATTTTTATTTTCCTTGCAGTAGTATATAGTTACCAGATTTGAAATAAAATAGTCAATCAGTACAGTTAGTCCTGGATTTTCTCAATAACTATAAGTACTTGGAAAATTTATTCAGCCTCTCCTCCTCTTCTTTTTTTCTCTTTACCTGTGTAAAATGGAATAATTTCTAAAATGATTTGTAGGTCTACGAGTCTCAGTTATAAAATGTTTCATGATGCTATGTCACAAGTGCAATGCCAGTACAGGTCCTCCAAGAAGCATACACCAAGATGGAATTAAGCTGCAAGAAATATGTTTGGGTATTGCCCTAGGAAATTAAACAGGGAAGGAAGTGGAGCAGGCTGCATTAGCTGTCAGACCAGGATGGCAGTCAGACTTCTAAGCGGGATTGCAGGTTGCAGGGTAGTTCTAGAACAATTTTGTCAAAGCTGTGAGAGTCCTTGAGCCAAAGCTCCATGTTCAAGGAATCTTCTGCCTCACAGGAAAGGCTTTGCCTTACTTACCTGATGTGCTCAATCACTGGTTAGAGAACAGTTCATACAAAGCCTGACCTTGATGTGAAGGTGGTGATGGATCTGAGTACAGTAGCTAGGCCATTAATTGTACTTTCGTATTAGAAAATATGAGAGGAACATTATCAATAGAATGGAATGTCTGAGTATGATAAGGGGTTGTGGTGACCAAGGTTTTATCATGCACATGAAGCCTTCAAGTAACAGGCTTCAGGGAGAATAAATTGTAGATGTTAATCAGACTTAATAGCTTTCTTGATGTTAATGCTGCTTAACTTTTCCTGAATTCCCAAAGGGAAAAGGGTATAATGAAGCTTGTTCAATTTCTTTCTTTTTTAAAAATTTTATTTTAGGTTTAAGGGTACATGTGAAGGTTTGTTATGTAGATAAACATGTGACACTGAAGTTTGT